ACAACACGAACATAAATTCCATTAGCAAATTGAATGAAGCTCAAAAGTTATGGAAACGAAGACATTATCAGCACATATTTTCCTGTTTAACACTATGTATCTTATAAAGCGCTATGTGTGTGTATATATATATATATATACAGTGGGTACGGAAAGTATTCAGACCCCCTTAATTTTCACTCTTAACAATATTGCAGCCATTTGCTAAAATCATTCAAGTTAAGTTTTTTTCCTCAATGTACACACAGCACCCCATATTGACAGAAAAACACAGAATTGGCAAATGGCTGCAATATAACAAAGAGAGAAAAATTTAAGGGGGTCTGAATACTTTCCGTACCCACTGTATATATATATATATATATATATATATATATATAGATATAGATATAGGCTGGGCAAGTTAACGCATTAATTGATTAACATGGACAATTATTTTAGAGTGAAGCTGTCCATTTGTGTTTTTTTGATTATCGATTTATGCTGAAAATGGTCATGTGTATCAAAGGCCATCTGTTGCTCGAGTTAAACGTTATCACTGTTCCTTAGATCCTTTTTGTTTGCAGGTAAATTACCCTTTTCCTGTGTCTCTTACATGGATTTGAGCGAAGCTTCTCAAAAGGGGACAATCAACCATTTGTGGCTGACATGGTTCTAGAACAAAATGGAGTTCTCTATCCTCCCGATTGGCTTAGGTTGTGCAAGAAGTTGAAGTAGAGGGTGTCTTGCCATGTCCTCAGCTGGAACGTAGGATTTAGCTAATTCCAACATGACAACCAAGTCTGGGGAAAAAAAAAAAAAAAAAAAAAAAAAACGAACCACTTTAAAAATCAGAGTCAGAAAGAAGCAAGCAGCACTGGTGTGTAAGCTTAATAAATCAAACTTAAGTCATTAAATCATTTCTGCAATGTTCAATCAATCCCTAAAGCTTTAGTGTGCGCATTAACATCTTACACCTAATTTGTCTCATCACTAAGTTCGGGGCGCCGTCTACCTGATATCTGAACTTGTGATTTTAGATCTCCACCTGCAGCTGACTGACTACCCTGTTCAGCTCCTCATCAAGTTCTACACCTAACAACGATTGATCAGGATTGTTAAGATCCCCAAAGACTTGAGAGAATATGGCTCAGTCCAGTAAAGAGAATATGCACAAATGGAGACCAAGATTCAGCTGAACTTTCAGTTGGCACTTTACTAAAGAAAACTTTCCACATTTCCTGAGTTCAAAGAGCAAACAAGCCTAGAAGAGCGCAACTCACCTACAAAAGTCTCAATGAATACAAGTCAGCTACCATCAAGGAGCAGGACAGGAGCACATCCAACTCATCTAAGAAGCAGCCCAGCTCACATGGAAGAGAGTATGACACATTAAGGTTAAATGTAAACCACATAAAACTCAAATGAGATGCATAAAGAGCAAATTTCCAGTTATTTAAGAGAAGGAATCCTATTCAAGGTGAACGTGTGAGAGAAGAGGGCATCATTGTCTGGTTGAATACACTAAAAAAAAATATTTATCGTGAATTTACCGGTAAAAGACTGTAAAAATGCTACAGTAAAAACCTGTATTGGACATTAATTTTACGGTAGTATACCATTTTTGGAAGTGAAAAAGACTGTATAATTTACAGTGAATAACCGTAAATTGACATTCCCAGAACTCCCTGCGTTACATTTCAAATTTGATGTTTTTTGTTGAAATAACTGTTCCTTAGTTTTTTCTTATCGGTTTTGTATATTAGGGTTGTGTGTTACACCTAATGTTGTTAAATGAATGTTTATTGCATTATTTAAGTTTCGTGTGCATTACCATGATGGTGTTTAGTGTTTGTGTGAATGATACTGTGCACCTTCTATATATATATATATATATGTTAATATTTAAAAGCTGCTTGTGATGGGCTTTTGGTCATGTGGCTTTCTCATCACCTCCTGCTTTTGGTGGTTATCAGTGTATTACAAAGGTACAAAACAGACTTCAGTACTTCAATAGGTTGGTATATTAACATTATATCAGTTAATGAAATTACGGTATTTAACTGTAAATTTAAGTTAAAACATTGTTACCGTATTTTTTACGGTAAAATTCTGGCAACCAGAGCTGCCGGTTTTCTTACCGTAAATTTTACGGATTTATATATATATATATATATATATATATATATATATTTTTTTTTTAAACAGTGTACGGCTCTATAAATGACCAGATGACATTTCCAAAGGCCAAATGCAAATGAGGCAAGAAAAACTGATGATGTGAGGCTTATTCAGGTAAATACCGAAGTACTCAATGTAACGGATCCCAGCCAACCTAAAGGATAAGTACACATGAGGTTAAAATGGATCTTAAATGCAAAATGAGTCATTTAAACAGAAATTTCAAAATATTACAGAAAGCAAACATGCATGTTTGGCATGTCCTCCGATAGAATCAAGGTCTCAGTCCAGCCAAAGATGCGCTGACAGCAGCTTCAGCTCTGGGACTATAGAGGTGCCAAACCACTGTACACAGATGTGGGTGGAGAGCAGAGAGAAAAAAAATAAAAATAAAAAACACCTAGTCATGAAAATGTAAAGGGACACTAATACTTTCATAGGTGCTTCACAACACTGAAACATACTGGTCTCAAACATTTGAACTGCTTGATAACGTTTTATCCTAAGCACCATGACCAACAATCCGTGTAACTGTACTGAGTTCAGGGCGCCCCATCGATCTGATCTGAGGTCAAGCCACAGCAGATCGGCTCCTGCCAGTCACTGACTCCCTGTTCTGCTCCTCAGAGTCACAACCTTTGGTCAAACAAAGCTATCTATACTGTTTAGTTCATATAGCAGGGAGCCACTTAACCCATTTAATCCCACCGGTCACAATTGTGACGGTAAAAAAAGGTTTTCATTTATAAAGCTCTGAAAACCTTACCAACTGCTGTTTTGGTGCATTCCCTGCAAATATGGAAAAATAAAGGGTCTCAATGAAATATGTGCAGTTTCACATGGTTATTGCAAATTGTCACATGGCCAGAGCAGTTTATTTCCTGTTTGCACCATGAGATGACGACTGCATGAAAACTCCAAAACAAAAGGCAAGTAATATATGTTAAAGATATGACAAAGATTTTTGGTCCACATTATCTTTACGGTGTCTAGTATTAATATATGAATTCGCAATTATTAAATTGTTGAGTGTTGTCATAGAATGAGAAAAAAATGTTGCCGGTCACAATTGTGACCGGTGGGATAACAGTGAATTTAGGTATACATATAAATCCAATTGCAGGTGTTACTGAAAACTGCACTAAAATGTTGCAATGACAAAATATTGCACTAAATTAAAAGTTCAAATGTTATAAATAAGTTACAGTATTGATGTTGTAATACTGGTAGCACTAATATAACAATTTGATGATATAGGTTACAATAAAGTAACAATTTCGAAATACGTTGATGGTTGTATTTTTTTTGTATTTTATCTCAGTATTCCGATCAATGTTGTATAAGGGTTTTTATGTCCAATAGTAACCCTAAAATGTGATGAAAGACAAATTGTTATACTTCTCAGCCCACATATTTTAATGACAGCAGAAATAGGTTAATTCAGTATACACATTATCCCACCAGTCACAATTGTGACCGACTATTAAACAATTAAAAAAAAATAATTATTGACTATTTCAAAAGGGTTTCTGATGACACATCTGGATATTTTCGTCTGGAAAAAATTGAGGATTAAACGGGTAAAGGTCAAATGAGTACAGAAGAGCTTTGAATGCCGTGCATGAGACTTACAGACAGAGGGCATGGTCACAAATGACATGTGTGCTTCAAACACGGAGAATCTCAGCACATCCAGCTCCAAGTTGCCCAAAAAACCTGGAGGACAAAAACATTCAGTTCGTAATGAAGTGAAATTCAATAGTTATGGAACATAAAAGTATATTCTGAAGAATAACTGTTAAGTGTACATGTTGAAGATAAAGGGATTTGCTATTTTCTGATTGAATCCAGGTTTAAGAGCTGATAAACCCATCAGTCATTGAAGGTCAAAGGAGGCTAGAAGAGACAGCATTTCTGAAGCATGAGGCTCATCAAGATGGATGCCGGAGTCACCAGGCAGTGACAATGAGTCACAAGAAAAAAAGCTGACCTGGAGACAGATATTACAATTGATATTCAATTAGTGCAAATAATTACATCAATTCAAAAAGTACTGTAATCTGGTGGAGAGCAGAGTACTGATGTGTCCTCTTTTCAAACCCAGGTCTGAGTTAAGAGTGTGGCTACAGCTGGAATTTAGTCACGTTTTCAAGAGTGAGGGGCAGAAGGACATATTGTGCTGTTCTACAAGAACATTTGATATTTAGTCTAATTTAAAGGTTATAGTTTATAATAGCCCTCTTCTGTTCAAAGTTGGGTACTGCATGCAAGGATGTAGAGTCCTTATATGACAACGTCATAATCATGAGTCAGATCTTCTGCAGCAGCAAAGATCATGCAGTTATGGCTGCTTTCATTCCCAAATTTAAGTTGATCCAAAAGGCACATTTGGTGTGAAAACATTTCTATATAGTGATTCTATGTACTGTATGCTTAGTTAATTCTTTATACTTTATATGTCGAATGCTAACCTTATTACCTTTATCGTGCAAATTGTGTGATCGGTTTCTGATTATGCAATGCTAGTTCTTCACTGTATAAAGACCTTTTATGTCTTATATGATCATGTTATTGATTTACATGCTTATATTTCTATGTTTACAGTTTTACATTATTCCAAGATCGATAGTAAAGCTGGAGAAAAGATTCCTTGCATCTGTATTTTTTGTATGTTTACAGTTTTACATTATTCCAAGATCAATAGTAAAACTGGAGAAAAGATTCCTTGCGTCTGACGTTATTGGAAGGCGTTATCTGTCTGCCAAATCAAGCAGGGCATTTGACAAGAGGGCAGAACACATATACAAACAGAAAATTAAGAGTAGAAAAACAGCACGGTTTATTAAAAAAAAGCGTCTTGACTGCATGATCAAACAGGACAGTCCTGCACTATAAACACATTCCAAAACAATAAAACAGCACAAGCACTCACTGCTATAATCTGTCTCCATGTTTGGGATGCCCCATCTATCTGATATCTGAGCTCAGCAGCAGTGGATTTGCACCTGCAGGTGACTGAATCTACTCACTACCTAGCATTGACTACAATAAAGGATCATTCTCCACCACAAAGCTTTCTGGGGAACATGGTTTGACCCAGTAAAGAGTGCAATATACACAGTGTAGTAAATATTAAGAATCACAGGACGACTCCCCTCAGCCGCTGTTGATTTCCCAGGAGAAACCCCTATTAACACTGTCAGGACCTCACTGGAACAAAGCAAACAATTAAAAGCTGCATTTGTAACTGACGTTTCTAGAGGTGTAACAGGAACACTGTGAGCTGCTTGTGGAAATCATCCATCTGTAAGCTGAAGGGGGGCATTTTATAATTAAATGATTAAAATACCTTGGAGCTCTATAGCATTGACAAAGTCAACAACGAGAGGGCTTCCATCAAGGAGTGGAGAGGACAAAAAAAATCTGAGCTCTTTAAATGTTCAGATTACCTGTAGGAAGACATTACAGATAAAACATTGAGTTAACATTGGTAGTTGCTTTAAACAACAGAAACATTAAGAAAAACAAAGTTTCTCTACAGATACTAATTTTAATAGAACTGATTCCCTTTCATGGGAACTTTGAACTGCGTCCTCTATGGGGAACGCCTCGTCGTGACCAGTGTCTGAAGCATACATTGAAAAAACACCAACTCGTTGGCCGGCGACAGCCATGACGTCACTACCGGTGCGACTATAGTATAAATAGGCCCCGGGAGCTACACATCATTCTCTTCTTCGTCTTCATTGACTTTTTGTTTGAAGCGTGCATTTCTGTGGTAAGAGCGATCTCTATTTATCTCATTATGGCGAGCACTAGCAAAGCATTTAAGGATGTGTGCATCCATGTTGACGTTGTTTAACATCTGATGACACACACGATCTATGCGTTGTTTTTGTTTGGGCAAAGAGCACGCATGCGATGTCTCCGAGGGGGCAATCGGCGTGCACTGCGAGCGTTTTTTCCAAGAAAAAAAATAAAAAATAAATTTTAAAAAAAAAGCAGCTCCGCTCTCGTTTGTCTCTCTTTTCGAGGAAAGAGGGGCAGCCATCTGCTTCCCACAATCCAGGACCCACCCCTGCTGAGGCAAGCAGGAAATAGCTGAGGAGGGCAAAGAAGCTGATGCTGAGCCTTCCCAATTCTCCTGCCCTGCGTATGATGAGCTTTTGATAATTATGGATCGCACCACGGCGAGGCTTTACTTGCCGTGATGCGGGTGAAAAAAGTGACGTCGATGAAGATGCCAGGGCATACGCAGCAGGTCGGGCTGTCGCTTCATTGCACATGATGGTGATGCTTCAAGCATATCAGGCCGACCGGCTGAAAGACCAGGATAGAAGTCCAGGTCTGAGCCCGAACAACCCAGAGGTCCTAGCCCGTCTCAGTTTGAGGATCAGAGACCGGCTCAGAAGGCTAGTGTCGCGGCTTGCGCTCCTCCCCCGCCCGCGGGTTGGGGTAGGAAGAATCGCGGGTCAAAGGAAGGTAAGTAAAAGACCTAAGGGATGTGATCCAGACAGGGCGTCAGTGTTTTTGTCCGGATCAGAGTGATACCTCAGTATCTACTCATTTCCTTTGGGGGTCTTACATCTGCCCTTATCTTCACCTTCCTAAATTCCCCTGTAACCACCATCTCTCCACCTGACC